CCATAGGATGTGGTGATCCCAATCTTCCCATAGGATTGCTGATCCCAATCTTCCCATAGGATTGCTGATCCCAACTTTTCATGGAGCTCCGTTACCCCCACAGCCCCGACCCCCCCCCCAGGGACAGGTGGGACAATTCCAGCTTTCCCACCTCTTCCTCAGCGCCACCATTCCCTGTGAAATGAAGGATGGACAATCCTCCTGGGCAAAACCCGATCCTTAGGGAAAAACCCCCCAGAGCTGCCGCCGTGGCCCTTCCAGGGATTCCGGCCCCGGGACATTCCGGAGCCGCGTGGCCGAATCCCGGCACGTCCCTGGCTCTGCCCACAATTACAGAGGAACGGGAAAACCACGGATGCAGCACCCGTGGAATATCCGCAGCCGCCAATTATCCGGAGGCCGATGTTTGGATTCCAGAGTGGATAATTTATGGAGAAGTCCAGGGCTGGGCGCTCGTCCCTTTGGATGGAAGCTCCTCTGGAATAACAATACCTGGCGCTGGGATAACGCAGATCCCGGGATTTGAAAGGGAGATGATTCCATTTGTTCCGCCGGGAGCGGGAACAAACAGCTCCGTCTGCTCCGCCGCCGGCAGCTGGTTCCCATTATCCCTGGAAAAGATCCCAGTTTTTCACTGGGAGGAGAATCTGGAGCCGCCTTGACTCATTCCAAGTATGAAGTGAATGTGGAGCACAAACGAAAATTCCAAGGGGTGAAAGGATCGGAGACGAGGCAGCTCCTCCCAGTGGGAGCTGAAATTCCCAATTCCAAGTGGTGCCCTCAGCTTCCAGTCCTCAGGAGACCACCAGGATTGGGAATTCCTGGGAAGCGTGGATTTGGGGGAGAAGCTCTTCCCAATGGAAAATCACTTCCAAAGGAACAGGAGGGGGAAGTGGGAGCTGAAATTCCAAATTCCAAGTGGTGGCCTTGGCTTCCAGTCCTCTGGAGACCACCAGGATTGGGAATTCCTGGGGATGGAGTGTGGATTCCATAGGATGGGAAAAGCTTGGGAGAGGGTGATGGAAAGGGAGCAAGGCAAGAGATCCAGGGAAGAGATTTTGGAGGAAAAGAGAGGAATTTGGGGAATTTGAGTGTCCCAGAACAGGTTGGATGAGGCTTGGAGCCACCTGGGATAGTGGGAATTTTCCCTGGCCGTGGAATGGGATGGGTTTAAGGTTCATTCCCACCCAAACCATTCCAGGATTCCATAATTTTTGTGTATCTATATTTAGTGCCTATCCCAGCTTCCTTATTTTCTGCCCATCCGGATTTATTTGTAAGTGGAGAAAGCAGCGGGATGGAGGAAGAGGAAGCTGTGGGATCCCAGGAAACCCCGGCAGGAGAGGATTAAATGAGAGATTAATGGGAAAATCCAAGGAAATTACAAAAATTCCATGGAATCCAGGTAGAATCTCCCTGTGTGGGTGGCTCTGCTCCATCCCCATTCCCAAATCCAACGTTTTCCCAACATCCTTCATGGGCTGAGAATTATGGTGACCCCCTGGAATTATCCGGCAAAATTCCTCTCTTCTTTCAATGCCAACGGATAAAGCTCAAGGAATCAGAGGGGGAAAAGTGGGAAAAACTTTTGGGATAAATCCTGCACCAACATTCAGGTTTATGGAGGATATTCCCAAGACAACAGCGCTTGGATCCCGTAGACTCCCTGAGCTGTGGGAGCTTCCAGGAAATTCCCAGTGTTTTCCAGAGTAATTCCATAATTCATCTATGGGGAACGGTGTCCCTGGAATGGGAATGAGGGCAGCACGGAGTCTCCTGGTGGGAATCACGAAATTCCACTGGGGGCTCCTCTCCCACCCCTCCTCATCCTGGGGCTTCCCAGGCTCCTGCATGGATATGGAATTCCATGAAAAGGGAATTCACGGCTGCCCCGCTCCCGTCTGCCGGGGAAAAGCTGGATTTGGAAACTCTGGGATCTGGTGGCAGCTCGGAAAACAGCCGGAGGGGAGCATGGAAAAGGCTCCTGGCAGGAATCCTGTTGGAAGCCAGCCCAGGGAACTGAAGGAGCGTTTTCCATGCCTGGATCCGATGTCTGATGGATGAGTTCGGCACTTGGCTCCAGCGGGAATTTTAAAGGCAAACCCGACACCTTTGGCTCGGCTCCTGGTTTTCCCCTCGCTCCAGGAGCATTCCCAAATTTCCTTGGGATGACAGGGAGGGGACCAGGACCCCCCAGTGCCTCCCACTGAGCCAAGGATCCCCACAATTCCCAGGAATGGGAGCAGGGCTTGGAAAGGGCCGTGATGGGAGCTCCTCATTCCCACCAGAATTCCCAAGGTTTCCACCCCCCATCTGCCATTCCCGGCCCATTTTCTGGGAGCCGTCCCAAAATTCTGGGGGCTGATCCCAGAGATCACCACAGCATTTGGGGGCAGATCCCAGGATCCATCCCAGAATTTGGGGGGCTCTGAATCCAGGGTCCACCCCACAATTTTTGGGAAGTTGATCCCAGGATCCATCCCAGAATTTGGGGGCAGATCCCAGGATCCATCCCAGAATTTTGGGGAAGTTGATCCCAGGATCCATCCCAGAATTTGGGAGGTTTATCCCTGGATTCCCCCCAGCATTTTGGGGGGGAAAATCCCAAGATCCATCCCAACATTTTAGGGGAGCTACATCCAGAATCCTTCCCAGAATTTTGGGAGCAGATCCCAGGACTCACCCCAGAATTTTGGGGAGCAGATCCAAGGATCCTTCCCAGGATTTTGGGGATCAGATCCCAGGACTCACCCCAGAATTTTGGAGAGCAGATCCAAGGATCCTTCCCAGAATTTTAGGAGGATAATCCTAGGATATATCCCAGTATCTGGGGTGGGGCTGATCCCTGTTTTCCCGTGTGGAAGAGGCTGGAATTCTGCTTCCCTGTTTTCCTGGCTCTGAGAAGAGCTGATGCTGTGGGAGAGGCTGGAATTCTGCTTCCAACATTTTTTTTTTTTGGAGCAATTCTCCGGAGCTCTGAGCTCAGCGGAGCTGCTCGATCAGGAATGAGGGATCCACGTGCTCCAGCTTGGAGCTGCTCCCGGGTATCCAGAGGGACAAATCCCAATCCCAAATCCAGCTCTGGAGTGGGGTTTGCTGTTCCTGAGCATCCATCTTTCCCTGAGGAGTGGGAAAATCCTCTGGAATGGGATAAAATCCCTGCATTCCCCCCCTTCCCACCTCCTCCTGCGCTGAAATCTGGGAATTTGGGAATTTGTTGTCATTCCCGGCCTGTGTTTACATTCCTGGTTTCCAGCCTGGTTCTTCCCAAGCTCCCGAGGCAGCCGCATCCAAGGCCAGATGCCTCCCACAGGTCGGGATCAAGGAGCTGCTGCGGGAACAGCTGGAGCCTGGAAAAATCCGGAAAACCTCCTGGGATGATCCCAAAAAATAGGGAAGGAAGGTCAGGGTGGAAGCACAAAGTCCTGTGGGATTTGGAGGAGCTGGGATTTGGATCCAGGGATTTGTGGGTGCCATTCCCGCCCATGGAGAGGGATTGGAATGGGATGAGCTCACCGTTCCATGGTTCCATGAGGAATTCCTGCTATCCAGAGGTTTTTCCAGATAAACAAAACTTTTCCTGGTTCCAGGGGTCAGCTGGGAGCGCGCGGCCGGAGCAGCCTCCTCCTCCTCCAGGGTTTCTGAGGAGTCATCCAAGGATTTTAATCTGGGAAAAACACGGGATCTTCCCTTTGGGAATGGCTGATGTCATTCCCAGACCTGCATCCAGCTGAACTCGCTCCCTGGGATGAAACATTCCCTGTTTTCTCCTCCCCTCTCCCAGTTTTTTATTTTCCCCCAGTTTTCCCCCCAACTCTCTCCCAAATTCTCCCCTGTCTCTCCCAGGTTTTTTCCTCCCTTTCTTCTCATTTTTTCCATTATTTTCTTCCCAGCTTGCCCTCACTTTTCTTCCCAGGTTTTTATCCCCCTTTTTCCCGTTTTCTCCCCTCTTTTCCCAGAGGAGGTGACACCTTGGGCACCTTGAAACCCTTCCCATCCCTGTGGGATCGATCCCTGGATTCACTCCAGGGAAATTATGGGGGGAAAATCCCAATATCCATCCCAACATTTTAGGGGAGCTACATCCAGAATTCTTCCTCGGATTTTGGGAGCAGATCCCAAGACCCATCCCAGAATTTTGGGGAGCAGATCCAAGGATCCACGCCAGCATTTTGGGAGGGTAATCCCAGGATCCATCACAACCCCTATTCCAGGTGGGCATTCCCGGCTGGCACAGCGCTGATTCCCGGCTGGAATTCCTGGCTGGCACAGCCAATTGCAGGTAGGAATCCCCGGCTGGCACAGCTGATTCCAGGTCGCAATTCCCGGCTGGCACAGCTGATTCCAGATCAGAATTCCCGGCTGGCACAGCTGATTCTGGGCTGGAATTCTTGGCTGGCACAGCCCCGATCCCAGGTTGCAATTCCAGGTTGGCACAGCTGGTTCCAGGCTGGAATTACTGACTGGCACAGCTGATTCCAGATCGGAATTCCCGGCTGGCACAGCTGATTCCAGGTTGGAATTCACGACTGGCACAGCTGATTCCAGATCAGAATTCCAGGCTGGCACAGCTGGTTCCAGGTAGAATTCCCGGCTGGAATCCACTTTTTAAAGGGTGGCACAGCCTAGAGGGGGCTGCCCCCATTCCCATCTTTTCCTGCTGCACCTCATCCCAGGATTCCAGGTGGGAATTCCCGGCTGGCACAGCCCCGATTCCAGGTTGGAATTCACGACTGGCACAGCTGATTCGGGGCTGGAATTCACGACTGGCACAGCCGATTCCAGGCTGGAATTCGTGGCTGGCACAGCCGATTCCAGGTTGGAATTTCCGACTGGCACAGCCGATTCCAGGCTGGAATTCACGACTGGCACAGCTGATTCCAGATCAGAATTCCAGGCTGGCACAGCTGATTCCAGGTTACAATTCCAGGTTGGCACAGCTGGTTCCAGGCTGGAATTACCGGCTGACACAGGTGATTCCAGGTTGGAATTTCCGACTGGCACAGCCCCGATTCCAGGCTGGAATTCGCGGCTGGCACAGCTGATTCGGGGCTGGAATTCCCACCTGGAATCCGCTCCCTAAAGGGTGTCCCGGCTGGAAAGGGCCGTCCCCATCGCCATCCTTCCCCTCCTCCCCGCTCCCCGGTCCCTCCCACTCCCTCCCAGCGCTCTCCCGCTGTCAGGGAGCCGGGAAAAGTTTGGGATAAGGGTCGGGATCTGGGCTCGGAGCTCCCAGTCCCGCCGATGCTCGGCAGCGGGGATTGCGGCAGCCGGCGATTCCATGGATATTCCCAGCGGGATTCTCCTGGCCTGCTCCCTCTGCCTCCTGCCCGGTGAGTGCCCATCCCAATCCCCCCCCCAAAAAAAACCGGGAATGGCTTGGGAAAAGCGCCGGAGAATCCTTCAGGCGGCTCTTGGAAAAGTTTTGCCGGGAGCTGGAGGGAGCTGGAAAGGGATGGAGATCCCGGAATTCCCGGGAAATTCCCGATCCCTCCTCGGCCTTGCAGCGGGATTAATCGGGATAATCCCAAAGGATGGGATGGATGGGGGAAGGAAAGCTCCCTTTTCCCGAAATCCGGCTTTTCCTGGGGTTTGTCCCGTTGGAGAACGGGGAAAGCTCGGGGTTAAATTTAGGAGAGGCTTTAGGCGGAGTTTAATTCCAGGAGCCGATCCTGCGGCTTCTCCCGTTCTGCCCCGGGGGGCTGGGATGGATTTTTTTCCTGCTTTTTCCCGGGGTTTTTCCTTGGGAAAAGCGACTCCCCATTCCTGCTTGAATCCCATCTGGAACCCACCCGCGCCGGGAGCCGCCAAAGCGGGAGGGAAACGGGGGGAAAATCGGGAAAAAAATCGGGAAAAAATGGGGAAAAAAGCGCTTTTCCCCACTGCCAGGAGCTCGGCCACCGGCTCGCGCCTCCTCCAGCTGCAAACATTCCCAAACTTCCTGCTGGAAAACGCGCCAGCCTGCTCGGGGCTTTTTATGGGATTGGCGCTTTTTTGGGATTTATTTTTCCCTTTCTGCCGCGGGATCCTTTCAAGGGAGCCGCGGCCGAGCTGCTTTTCCTGAAATAATTGGATCCATGTGTGGACGGAGGCATGGATGTGGCTCCGGAATGGGATGTTGGAAAAATCCTGGGATTTGCCGGATTCCTTGGAAATTCCCCCATGGAAACGGTGCTGGTCCGTAAAGGGGGGATCGTGGAAGGGGGATTTGGGAATTCTGCCTTGGGATGTGTGGAAATGATCCCTGAATTTGCCCTCTGGCATGAAACATTCCTTGATTTTCTCTCTTCTTTCCCAGTTTTCTTTTTTTCCCCTATCCATGGATTTTTCTGGCCGCCAATTTTCCCTCAGGGATTTCCATTCCATCCCTGGATGTTTCTGGATCCAAGGATTTTGTGGGAATTCCGGAAGCACAAGGTCCTGCTGTAGCAAAACCCCTCCGGAGCTTTGGGAAACAATTTTTGGGAGAGCAGGAATGGGGGTTTTTTTTTGGGAAACAATTTTGTGGGAAGGCAGGAATGTTCCAGGATGACTGAGCTTCTGTTCATCCCCAGCATTCCCGGCCTTCCCATCCAAATCCCAGGATTTTCCCCAAAGCCAATGACAGGCTCTGGGAGCTGGCAGCATTCCCTTGGATTCCCAGGAATTCAAGCCCACCCTGCTGCTTCCCAGAGATACTTTCCCAAAATTTCTTTATCCTTTAGAAAATTTTTCCTTAAAAATTTCCTTTAGAAAGGAATTCCACCCTGAACTTGGGCAGTGCTGGAAGCCAGAGGAAAAACCTGGATTTTCCTGACAGTCCAAGAAAAATTGGGATTTTCTTCTGGAGGAATCAGAAAACTTCGGGGCAAAGGCAGCAAAATCCAGCCCCAAATTTTCATGGAAGCAGAACCAGGGTTGGGAATCATGGGAATGCTTCCAGGCACATCCCAGAGTTCTTTTTCCAGCTGGGAATCCCAAATGATTCAGGCAGGGCAATTTTCCTCTTTTCTCCCCATTTTTTTTCAAATTTTCTTCCCAGTTTTTCCAATTTCCCCCCCCACCCCTCCCCATTTTTTCCCCTCCTATTCCCATTTCCCTCCCACAATTTTTCCAATTTTTTCGCCCAGTTTTTCCCCCTTCTCCCTCCCTCTTTTTCTCCCTTTTCCCCTTATCTCTCCCAGTTTTTCCCCATTTTTTTCCTGGTGCTGGGGCCTTTGGAATCATCCCCATCCCAGACATTTCCCTTCCAGGACTTCTTTCTATCGTGATTTTTACCCTGGCAGGAAAGGTGGATTTTATTCCCATCCTTGTTTCCCAGTATTTTCCTTGACAAGAATCAAAAGTTTGGGTGCTCCAGGAGCTCCAGAGAAAAGGAGGAATTTGAGGTTTCCTGCCCTCAGAATTCCAAGGAAAACCTGGAGCTTTTCGTCACTTCTTTGGGATCAAAGGGGGGAACTTTCAGATTTTCCTGATTCCCCGCAAGAAAATCTCTCTGGCTCCCAAATCTCCTGGATAACCTCTCCTAAAATTCCCATTCCAGCCGGAGCCAGTTGGAATATTCCCAATATTTATTTTATTCCTTTCTTTTTGTCAGAGTTTTGAGGTTCCATCCATTGCTCGGAATCTTCTCTCCCAGATTTTTTGCTTCCCTGGGATTGGGATTCCCAGATCCCCTTCCCTGTTTTCCCAGATATTTCCCATTTCATGGAATATTTCTGTTCATTTATTCTGGTTCCTTTTCCAGAGTTTTATCCTAAACCATGGAATGGGATTCTCCAGTTTATCCCGGTGTTCCCATTCCCAAAAATCCTCAGCTTGGGGGTGTGCAGTGCAAAATCCAGGAAAATTAAGAGGAAAATCCATCCCATCCTCTCCAACACTTCCTCTGCATCCAGATGCTTCCAGATCTTGGAATTCCTTGCTGGGAATCCAAAGTTCCCAAAATTCCCTCTCATTCCAGGGTGCTCTGATTCCCTTCCCCCTTTTCCCTTTCCCATCATTCCATGGCCAATCCCAGCTTCCCTCTCTCCCAAGGTTTTCATTTCTTTGGGATGTGAAATGAGGTCAACGCTCCACAAAATATCTTGGCTCTCATCCCCGCATCCCGTTTTTTTTTGGTTTTTTTTTTTTTTTTTTTTCCCAGTTTTTTTAATTGTGTAATTTGGTTTTTTTCCAGTTTATTTCCAGGTTTTCTGTCATTGTGTAATTTGGTTTTTTTCCCAGTTTTTTTTATCCCGGCTTTCTAGAATTTCTTTCTGGATCATTTGGAAGCTCCTTCTCCTCGGAATCCGTGGCCGGATTCCTCCATTCCGTGCTCCAGGAGCGGGTTTGTTCCTAGGATTCCAAGCATTCCCTTTTTCTCCGACATTCCTGCCTATCCAAACATTCCCACCCTGCATTTTTCCACCTGGGAAGCAGCAGTGCCGAATTTTCCTGCTGACAGCTCCTTATGTCCTGAGAAATTCCAAACTGAGCATCCTGTCCCTGTCCTGGAGGGGGATTCCAAGGTTTTTCTTGGAATGAAGCATCCAGCAGGATCCAGGGAATCCAGTCTGGGATATCCTGGTTATCCGTGTCCATCCTGCTGCTCTGGATTTTGGGAATCTGCAGATGAGGCGGGGCTGGAATGCCTTGGAATTCCCATCCTGGCTGGGATGGGAATGGGATCAACCCATCCCAGAATCTTCAAAAATTCGGGAGCAGCTTTTTTCAAGGATGGGAGAGGTTGGAAGCGCCTCTGGAATTGTTGAATCCAACCTCAAGTGGGAGCACCTGGAGCAGGGCTGGGATTGGAATAATTCCTTTCCGAGATTTCGGAATTCCGAGTTCATCTGTGTGGAATTGGTGTTTTCCAGCTTTTTGGCTGACGGATCCTTCCCCTTTTTTCCCCCCAGGATTTGGGAATTCCTTCAACATCGACACCAAGAGGCCCCAGATCATCGCGGGATCCAGGGAATCTTTTTTTGGATACACGGTGCAGCAGCACGACATCGGCGGCAAGAAATGGTGAGTGGGCTCTGGAAAACCGGGAATTCCAGCGGGAATTACACCAAATCTCCTTCAGAATTCCCAGGAATTGCTGGGCCAGGATGAGGTTGCTCTGGAGGTGCTGAATGGAGGAAAGGTTTCCCTTAAAAAAAGAGGAATTTTGGGTGGGATAAGGGAATATTGGGAATTTGGGAAGGAGGTGTCCTGGCTGGATCACGATTCCTTGGGCTGGGATCCCATCTGGAATTTGGGTCCAAGCCATCCTGGTTTTTACTGTTTGCATGGAGGAGCCAGAGCCTGGAGAACTGATCCATTGGGAATGTGGGATGAGCCTGGGATTGGCTCGGGTTTGGGATTTTGGAGTGGGTTTGGCTGATCCCAGGGATGGATCCAGGGCCAATCCTGGGGCCAATCCCAGGGCTGATCCCAGTGGAATCTCAAGGATGAATCCAGGGTAGACCCCATGGGATCCCAGGGATAAATCCAAAGATGATCCCAGGGGATCCCACCCCGATGTTGGCAGAGACCTTTGGTGCATTCCAGGAGCACATCCGGATGCTCCAAAGCCCATGGAATTCCCTGGAATTCAGGATCTGCCCCCCAGGTGGATGAATCCAGGTTTAATCCCATAATTAAAGCAGTGGATACTCCTGGAATTCCGAAATCCAACCTTTGCCACCTTTGGAAAACCCTCCCGTGTCCTGAACCCGAGATTCCCATTCCACAGAATTTTGGGAAGCCGGGGTCTCTCTTTCCATGGCTCCCACCCTGTTTTCCACCAGGACTGGGAGTTTTTCCCATTGGAATTCTGCATCCTATGGAAGGGCTGATGCCTTGGGATGAAAGTTGGGAGTTCAGTGTTCCCTGGGATTCTGAGGGAAATTGCTGGAAAATCCCAATTTTGGGAATATTCTCATCCGGGTTGTATCCATAGGAGCTGTTTTAGCTCCATCCCAGCTGAGGGGTACAATTCCTGGGATTTTGGGATCTCTTATCCCATTTTTCCATGCCACCACCACTGGTGGGGTGCCCAAGGGCTGAATTCCCTGGAAACTGGGAATTTTTTCCTGCTTTCCCACCAAAGACCATCCCTGGCTTCTTTTCCCAACTTTTCCTGCCAACACCCGCAGGATCCACCTCTAGTTTTTCCTCCTGCTGGTTCCTCTGCTTGGAAAAATGGAATTTTCCCAGAGGGATCCTATGGATGGACGCGGACACAAAAACTCGGGACAGCGCTGCTGGAATCTGCAATTGAGAGGGAAAAAAATTCCAAAGGAAAAATGCGGACACAGTGAAAAATGGAGAAATGTGGGAGCAACCAGAAACCTTTGGAATAAAAACCTTGGATGTGCAGAGGGAGCTGGATCAGAATTCCAGGAGCTGGAAGGAAAGGGAATGTCCTGAAACCCCAATTCCTGCAGAGCATCTTCCAATCCCATCCCGAGGAATTCCACAAAATCCACTGGAATACAGCAGAGACTCCGGGGTTCTCTCAGAATCCCGGCCATGGATGTGCTGGGATCCAGCTGCCAAATTCCAAGCGCGGAATCCGAGGATTTTGGCACCTCTCCTTCAGTCTGAGCCTTTTAATGCTGCTTTTGGCTGCCGGGAATTGTTTGGGAACGGATTCCAAGAATTCTGTGTTTATGTTTTTTTTTCCATATATTTCTAAAGGAGGATTGGAGCGGCTCCAAACAGATTGGATTTTCCAGGTATTTTTGGAAGTCGGGAATTTTCTCCTTTTCCAGACTTTTCAAGGAACCACCCAGACTCATGGAAGTGCATCCCAGAGAGTGGAAAATCCACGAGGAAAATCCAAGAGGAAAAAATTCAGGTTATTAAACTCTGGAGGGGTAAAAATTCCACTTGGATGGTTAAGGCTGGAAAAGCTCATCCATGTGGGATTTGATTTTGATTTTGCTCCGGCTTTTTCCAGAGCAGTGTGGGGTTTTCAGACCTCCTTTTCCACACTTTTTCCATCTTTTCCATGGAGCTGGAGGTGCCTGGAAAAGATGGAAAAGATGACAGCAGGTGCCTGGAATTCATCCCAAAAAACCAACGGAGCTCCATGGAATGGCAGGGAAAGGAAGACCTGGAATTATGGAGCATTCCCAGTGTCCAAACTGGGGTTTTTTGGGAAAAATGGGAACTCCCTGTGCTGCTGGGATGAAATGACCTGTGAGGAATTTTGGGATAAAGAGAAGGAATTCCTGGGAGGATGAAAAGAGTTTTGGAGGGTTCGATTCCCAAGTCCCGGCATGTTGGACGCTGTGGATGGATTCCTTTGGGAATAATGAGCAGAATTCCCACAAATGGGATGTGTATCCCTTAAAACTTGGAAGCTGTCATGGGAATGGGAGCTCTTGGATGTTTGGGGCAAGCACAGCCTGGAATCTCGTGGAATTTTGGGAAGAATCTTCCTGGAGGTTCAAGAGCAGGGAAAAAGGGGAAAAAATTCCTTTCATCTTTCATCTCCCACTTCCAAGTGTTTGTCCAGGATGCTTCCCACCATTCCAGGAGCTGTGGCTGGGAGCATCCCAGAGCTCCTTTTCCAAGGAATCCTGGAGAGGGACACTCGGAGCTGATTCCTGGAATTTTTGGGTTGCTGGATGCTCCTGGGGAGTTTTCCCTATCCCAACCTCGTATCCCACTTATCCAAAGGGAGGTTCTGATCCCAAAACTCCTCCCTGGGAGCATCCCAAAGTTCCTTTTCCGAGGAATCCTGGAGAGGGGCACAGACATGATGGGGACAGGCAGTGATGACAAATCCAGACCCCAAATCCCAGAAAACAGCGGATAACGGGAGCAAAGGCAGCACAAGGAACTCTGGAATACCGTGGGCAGCAGGAATGCCACATTCCCATTTTTCCCCATCCCAGAAAACAGCGGATAACGGGAGCAAAGGCGGCACAAGGAACTCTGGAATACCGTGGGCAGCAGGAATGCCACATTCCCATTTTTCCCCCAGTGTTTTTCCCCCATTTTTTGGGATGTTAAGGAGATGTTTCCAGTCGAGGCCTCTCCGTGTTTTCGGCTCAGCCGGGATTTTCCGTGGAACCGTGCTGGGATCTGTATCCACAGGGTCCTGTGGGATCTCCAGCTTCCCTCTGGAGATTCCCGAAGAAAACTGGGAATTTCCCAGGTGGCTTTTCCCCATCTCCCACTCCCACCCCAAACAAACCCTTTTCTTTCAGAACCACTGTTGATTCCCAGATTTTTTTGCCTCCCCATCCTTGGAATGTTCAAATCCAGCTCAAAGCACCCTCTGGAAGTGGGGCTGGAATGACCCAAACCATTCCATGGTTTTATTGAAAACAAGGCCAAAAGAGGGAAAATCCCCCCCAAAAAAACAGGGAATAGGGTGGGATCTGCAGCAGATCCTGCATCCCGGGGTGGGAGGGAGAGCCGGGAGCAGACATTATGGAATTCTCTGCGCTTCCACCAAAATATTCCAAGCGCTCCTGCGGCGGCCAAGCCACGGGAGAATCCCAGCCAAGAAAACCTCTGGCTGGAGCTGGAAAACAGAAACCCCTGGAAGTGTTTTTCCAGATCAGCACAATTCTGGCTTTCAGTCCCGCCAGAAGATTTTTCCCTCTTTTTATTTTTTCTTTTTTTTTTTTTTTTTTTTTTTCCCCTCCTCCTTTTCCCTTCGGCCGGGCTCGGATCGGGATTGTCCAGGATCAGGGCCTGGAGCTCAGGGCTGGAATGGGATGAGCTTTAGGGTTTTCCCCACCCAAACCATTCCAGAATTCCTGGATTTTGCTGGTTTGGAGCCTTTCCCAGCCTGCAGGCATGGACACATCCCATTCCCAGCCTGGCCGGAAAATTGGGAATCAGGACCCAGCACTGGGCTTTGCTTGGAGAGCAATATCCTGGGGTATTCCTGCTTTTTCTCTCCTGATTTTTTTGGGGATGAAAGTTAAAAATCCATCCTCAGACAGCTTGGAGCAGTCAGAGCTTTTCCCACTTAATCCCTGTTGGGTTTTTTCCCTTTGTTTTCTCCGGGAGCAGGGAACGGAGAGGGAGGCGAGGCAGGAATTGTTTGGTTCTGATTTTCTTTCAAAGCCTCGTTTTTTGGCCAAGTTGTGATGCAGGAGCCGCTTCCCTCTTGGGAATCCAGGGAAAAATCGGGAGATTTGGGATGATCCCAGGATGTGTGGAGGGGGAAATCTTGAAAAAAAACAGGAATGTCTCCCTTCTAGAGCAGGATGCTCCAGTTTTCTTGGGATGAGCTGGATCATTTGGGTATTTTTGGGAATTTGGGACAACCCACCCAAATCCCTGATATTTTTTGGGTTTTTTTGGTTTGGTTTTTTTTTTTTTCTGTTTTTTTTTTTTTGTCTGTTTGGTTTTTGTTTGGTTTTTTT